CTGAGCCCGAGACGCTCTTGGACAGAAACGGCACTGTCCCGCCGTGCGTGGAAGCCCTCACCTTGCCACAAGCCCGGCAGTGGTGCCTCCTCTTGGTGAAAGTGAACTTGACCTCGCATTTCATGCAGATCGGCGCCTGGGAATCTGGGACCCACACCGGGGCCACCTCTCCGAGGGCGGTGAACGTTTTTTTCGAAAGCTGCCCAAGGTGCCCCGCCTGGAGGTCGTTATCGGGGCTCTCCGCAGGCAGCAGCAGCCCCGGCGGAGCGAGTGACGCCCCGGAGTCGAACGCCCCCTCGTTCTCGCCGTTCACCCCCGTTGTCCCTGCCTCCTCGCTGTAGCCGTTGGCACAGGACAGGTCTCCAGCACAGGGCCGGCCCTGCGGCTCCAGGTTTTTGTTCTTGCCGTGCGGACCGAGCTCGTTCTGCACCTGGCCCGACAGCGGCCGCGGGATCTGCAGCTTCAGACTGACCGGTTGCTTGGGCCGAGCCCCTCCGTAGGGGATGCTGACGGGCTGCACGCTGCTGTTGTTCAGCTTCTGCACTGCGGGAGAAGCTCCAGTATTCCCCTGCCCGGCCTCCAAGCCTCTCGTCTGCTCGTAGCATTCCATCTTGCTCTCCTCCACCTCCTTCTCCTCGGTCACAGAGTCCTCTTTAGAGGGCAGAGGCTGGGAAGACTCATCGTCCTGGTCTTTGCCCAAGCCCTCCCCATCCAGGCCATTGGGAAGGAAGGAAACGGTGGAAGGGGACTCGGACGAGAAAGCACACTCGAGATCCTTTTCTCCGTTGGAGGAGGCGGAGGACTGTCCCGGCCCGAGTCTCTCCTCCATCTTCTTCAGTTCCCCAGTCGAGGAAACCTGGGGCCGCGAGGGTTGATTCCCCTCCTCCTGTGGAGATTCGTCTAGACCCATCGATACGTCACACATGACCCCTCCCGAGTGAGCATGGGCTTCGGATGCCGGCTGAGCCGTTCCCAGTAGCGACTCGTCCGGAGAATCGGATTCTCCGTTGCCGCAACCCAATTCTTCAGCAAGAGCTGCATGTCCCGTTCCCCCTTCGAACCCGAGACCGCCTGCGTTCTGATCTCCCTTTGGCGAGCCGTTAGCCGCGTCGTCACACCCAGGTGGCTGTGAAGCAGTCCTGCCTGTCGGGTCCTTGAAAGTGCATTCGTTTGCCGCAACCAAACCGTCCTTCTCTTTCCCCTCGGCAAACGTGCCGAGGAACGCACAATCCCTATCCTTCTTAACGGAACCCCCTTCCTGGGTCGCGCTCGAGCAATTCACGGCGATAATCCCATTCCAGTCGGGAGAGCCGGCCTCAAACGGAGGCCGATCACAGAGGACTCCCTCCGCGCATCCGTTGACGTCCGGTACGGCCGGACCGCCGTTGTCCAGAGCCGTGTTTTCCTTGCCACAGACTGCCGGACGGCTCCAAACGTCTTTGCTCAGCAATGTCCTGCCGTCACCCGCGCCGGCTGAAAGCTGCCCATCTCCGCCCCCTGCGTTTCCGTCCACATTTCGCCGCGACGGCGGCGGGTGCGGGCCGGAGTCCCCATTCCGGCCGAGGGAGCCGAACTGCTCCCCGGACCGCCGGTCCTGGATCGCCGAGGCCGCGGCCTCGGGAGTCTGGGGGTCCTGGCTCCCGTTAGCGCAGCAGTCCCCTTGCGTTCCCTCCCGGCTCGCCGTGGGATTCTCGGGGAGGGGCAGCTGGCCATCGCTGGTGTTCCCTCCTGGGCAGGCCAAGGCGGGATTCAGGGAAAGCAGGTGAGGAGACGGGGTTAAAATCTGAGTCCACTTTGTATCCGACACCGCGGGGGGGTCCGTTTCATCTGTGGAGAGAATTAAAAAAAACGAGCGAAAGGAGTAGCAGAGAATCGACTACGCTACAACGAACTAGAAACCGAACCACCAGAACCACCGCAAGGTCACGACATCATCGGACAACAGTTATTCAGACATGCACCATTAACCCAGAACCCTTGAGCCGCACGGCAAACTCGTATTGGAAATTCATCCTGCTGCAGCAGCACCAACGCTTGGGACTGTACCAGTCCCGACAGGACATTTGTTTTCGCGCCAGGGGAAATGATTTGAGAAAAAAAAAAATAATCAGCCGAGCGTTAAGCATCCATCCCAGCAGGAGCCTGTGCCAGGCCCAGTGGTGTTTCTGGGTGCGTGCCCGGTGCTGCCATGCTTTCTCTGGGTCCCGGCCTGATCTTGCTGCTGCAGCCCTGCCCCCTTTCATCCAACGCCCCCCCCTCCCCTCCCCTCCCCGTCCCATCCATCACACTGACACCTGAATGCTTCACGCGGAGAGCAAGAACTCCACAGACCCCACCCCTCCCCACGCACTCCTCCGAGAGAACCGCATTCTTTCAATACGCCACCACTGCACTGCTGCCACTCCCCGCATCACAGTAACACAGGAGTGATATATAACCCGCACGGCTACACGTGCACGTGCACCAACGAGAAGGGGTACAGGGAGCGCCCCCCATTTGCTACAGAACTGGTACGTGCCGAGGCATGGCCTGTCAAGCACAAGAACACCCTTCGTCACACAAGCATCACATGGCTGCCACACTAGTGTCGACGGATGCACAGCAACGCACGACGACAAAAAAAAAAAATCAGAATACAGTGCAGTGCCTGGAAGAAAAAGCACCCGAATAGGCACGAAAAAGCGCTCATGTCATTTAAGGTGAAGGAATTCGAAGTTTTTTGGATACTTGTATAAGACCAATTCAAGCAGGGGTCTTCGTCAGCATGCGTAGGACGCAAAGGAACAGGAAAAGGTTTATTTCCTGCAGAAAAGAGACCACGTTTTGGCTGTCAGGCCTTCTTCAAGTGTCAAGAAGAAGGCTCCACAGCTGAAATGTTGTGTCTCTTCTTTTCCTCTCAGCATGGAATTCCAATACTAAACCTTTCTTGCAGTCCTTTCAGCAAATCAGTGTTAACTGTTGCATTTCCCCGAAGAACATCCTGCTTCTCCCTGTCCGATGTTAAACAGCTGAGCGATCCAGCTTGGTTTTAACTCTCAAGGGAAGACGCAGCCTCGAGCACGATTCTGTGTTGCTTGTGCAGCTTTCCCCGAAACTGCTGTCTGATCAAAGCTGCTACTTCTGGAAAGGTGTAACTGAAGAACTGTCAGTGCCTCTTTCACAAAACTTCAGAACAACTGCAAACCTAGAGGCATTTCTGTGGCTTATTCATACAAGGTAGTCAGGTGAGGAGTTTCTCAGCAACACCCACTGCACTGGCCCCACAGCGCATTCAGAAACTACCGTGAACCCCTAGTTTTGACAAAAAAAACTAAAAATGATTCCTTGTGCTTACATGAACCTCAGTCACGTCAACTTGCTCAGTGGTTGTGAAGCTGGGAGTCATACTGGAAGGAGACACTTAAAAATGACATCTCAAGCGCTCAAATAAACAATACAGTGTGAAGGACAACCCAGGAAGCCGAAGCCACATGGCTCTTCAATCACGTCAGGTCATGTAATACAGTATTTTAGACCTCCACATCCAGCTGGCCTGAGGCAGGCTTGAATTTATTAACTACTCTGAATATAGTTCCCCACCTCATTTGTCTTCCCCACAACAGAATGCATGCTCTAAAGCCTCTGAAAACGCCAAGCTCAACAGGAGTTCAACAGCTTTCTGTCAGAGCAGAAACTTTTAGGAAGGAGGTTCAGGTTCAACGTACAGTATAGCAGGGAGCCAGAGGGTTCACCGCACAGACTTGTAATGGCTCACAGCTTAATTTCACAAACAAAAACTGCACAGATTATCAATGGAAATACCAGCAGTCTAAATAGCAGGCTGTAGGCTGTGCAGCAGCATCGTTACAGAACCCCTTACAGAAACCAGTCAGGCACTCAGAAGGATAGTTCCAGCTCAGCCCAGAAACGTTACTACCTTGTGACGAGACAGGCTGCCCACAGACAAAGAGCAGTGACTCACCTTCATTCTGTTCGAACTCATCCAGCACCTTGTCAAGGTTAAAGGCCTCTGCCTGGAAATAATTCTCCATTTGTCAGGACGTCCCACCCTGCCGGGCGGCGTGTGAACCTGAAGGGAAGGAGAAAACAGAAACAGAAAGAGATCCAGCTGTGACCGAGAAGACAGCCCGACACGAGACTACTATTGCGAGAACAGGGGTGTGCTCTGGAAGGATTCCAATTGTATTACACAAGAGAAGAAATAATTACGCTACACGAGGAGCGCATCTTCTATTTAAACCATCACTCTTTGTTTAATGCATTTATCAGTTGCTCCTTCTTTAAAGATTGGCTCAGGCACACAGCTTTGAATAACCCAAAAGACGAAGAAGGACACAAGCTAATACAAGAATGCAAATAACACACATTTCGCCACGAACTGCTCACTGATCTTGATGGGAAGAGAACCAGAGCACGTTTCCCCTCTTGTTTCGGTTCTGCAGCGACTACATGCTCTTGTGTTTCTGCATTTCAATCCCCTTCCCCCTCCTCCCCCGCCCACACGCCTCTGGACAGGAGCAGAGGGTAGGCTGCCACATCTACTGGCACACAGCGCGACCATGTGGCACTCCATCCTGGCAACCGGTCAATACCCGCCTGGCACAGGGCCTCATCCCCGCCTTCTGAATTCTTTGCTGTGCTGGTCACACATCCACCAGAACTGGAGGGCAGCGTCCCGAGGACTCGGATGGAAAGAGGATGTGGACAGCAGCCCGTGGGTGAAAATAATCTTCTTTAACCACCGCGGCATCTGGGCAGCTGGAAGCACCATACCTGTCACCACTGGCAGCTGGTACCGTGGCATTTCCTCCTCACCCATAACACCTTGCATTTCACGTTGTCATCTCCTAGACGGAGCCTCTCCTGGGCACACCTCCCCCACTCACCTGCTCACAGGTCCGCTTTAACACAGATGCTGGTCACGGGCTGGGCGGTCTCTCCGGCGAGTCACGCACGCGCTGCGCACCCACACCTGCAACGGGAGGCACGGCACACAGGGTTCGGAGATCAGAGGAGAGGGCGTGGGCACGGCGCTCAACACACGGGCTCTCGCGCACACATCCAGACTGCGGAATGGGTCAAGACTGCAGGCTTTATTTAAAACGGGGAACCTCAATACAGCTTAGTCAGAGTTTTTCAGCCCTGCAACAGCTGTAGAAATGCTGCAGCAAGCGAATTCACATACAGAATGAGACCTGGGTGCGAAGGTGAGGAGAATTTTGAATCACACTTGGGCCCTATGAGGAGATTCTGTTGCTAATGCAGCCACTCAGCAGGAATGAGGTAAAGAGGCGTTTCTGTAGCTTTCTGTGGACCCTCAATAGATCATTCAGGGAGCCTTAAACCTGTGTTTACGCAGGGATCTAAGCCGTGGATGAATCTGGCAACCTGTAGACCCCAGGACGAGAGAGAACCATACCAGACTTTGATATTTAATCCCATCCTGGCACCCCATTTGTATCTCTCCACCAGATCATGTGCTTGCTGCAGCCATGCTCTGAATTATTTAACCTTAACAATTAAGCCAGCTCCTTAGGTAATTAATAATTTAATTACAGTTTTAACCCTGCAGCACAATGGCCCTTTAGGAGCAGATTAAGCCCAATGCTGAACAAGACCTAGATTTGAAAAATATATATTCTTAGGACCATCCGTTACATCAGCAAGAGGTTCATCGCTGTTGATTTTTTTAAAAAGCCTAAGCAATGACACTTCATTACAGAGAAGTTCAGGTGCACGCTGCAATGCAGCACAGGTGGATATGATTTCTGATGCTATGGCTACAGGTAAAATCCTCCAAAATGTTACAATGTATGCAGGCAAAGCTACGCTTACAGACTATGGGAGAGTCTGCACTGATATCACAATGCTAAAGATTTAGATTACACATTTTATGAATCACACTACAGAACCAACCCACTGGGCACAGTTTGTTTGGTAAGCTAATGTCAAATGACCACACGTTAAATCACCACGTCTCAAGTGCAGGTAATGATTCACAATTAAAGTGTGATCTCAAAGTCTAAGATTTACAGCTCAAAAAAATAAGTAGTTTTTACCATCACAGCTAAGCCCCTCTGTACTTTACACAAGAAAGAAGCCGATGTTTTTGGAATGTAAACTGCTCGTTTTTAAGTGAATATAAGATAAGATCACTTTATTGGCTACATACAATTTTCTTGCATTAGGAATTTGTCTTTTCGCAGACCCCAGCTTGCTCTCCATGAGACACACAGACAGGGAGAGAAGCTGGGGGTCAGAGCACAGGGTCGGACATTTATACGGCGCCCCTGGAGCAGCTGGGGTGAAGGGCCTTGCTCAGGGGCCCAACAGAGTAGGATTCCTCTGCCGGCTGCGGGATACGAACCGGCAACCATTCCAGCCACAGGCGCGGATCCTGAGCCACAGGGCCACCGTTCCACCCCACTTACCGACTGATAAACACACCTACCAGGCAGGGTAGACAAACGTTAGACAATGTTTTGTTTCTACTCCCAGCATTCCGAGAATGTCTTTAAAAACAGGGCAAGGGCGTTACCCAACATCCGCAGCAGCTGATGCAGTCTGCTGCCCCTCTCTTTCATTCCCTGCGTTTCTGGGGTTACAACACCAGAGCTTCCCAAGTGAGAAGCTACACGGGCTCTAAAAAACCGAGAACGAAGCCGATCACGTCTACGTGTGCCGTCGCTTTACATGTTCCCCAAAATAAAAACACGAGAAAGATCGCAAATGTGAAAAGGCCCTTCGGCCCGTCCAGCCCACGTGGTGGCCAGTAACCAATCGATTCCAGCAGCGTCTTGAGTGAAGCCAGATCAATAGCATGGCTTGCTGCACATGTCCACCACCACTTGTCTAACGAGAAGTCCCTCGCATTCTGAAGTTTGAAATGCACGTCACTGTACTTTGGTAAATAGAAATTAGAATGAGCAGTGCTCTGTGCGCGTGGACTCCACAGGCTCCAGCAGGCCCAGACCAAGTCTTGGACTGGATCCTGCACAGGGCTCTCCTGGGCCACAACTGGGCTGTGGTCACTACGTTTAAAACCACAGGCCTAAAACATTCTCATTAAATCAGGGATACTTCATCATTTTCTGTTGAAATAATGAAAAAGCTCATTTATTTTAGCCTCCATGAAAATATTCTTCTCTCTCGGGTTTGTAAAACATCCTCTTTAACTCGTGCTGGCAATTTATGGTACTCCATTTTTAAAAAAAGGTTAAGAAAAAGCAGTAATCATTTTTATGCTTTCGGATATTTTTCTTGACCGATTTAACTAACCGCTTGGGTCACAGATTTCGGGCCTTTGATTTGCTAACTCAAGAGATGCATTTGGTCTGTGCTTCAAGCAGAATATATTTTAAAACTTTGAACCATTTAACCTTCTCCCACAGTTGGCTTTCCTGAAACTGTATCCTACAATCGGTGGGGGGCGTAACTCTCCTCCAATTGGTGCTGAACCACCGGGATGGGGCTGTTTAGCCAATGACAGGTTAGAAGACCAGAGATGGACAGCGGGGGGAGCCTACCTACACTTCCTCCTTCTCCTGTGTGCAGCTACAGGGTTCAGAACTGCTAGCTAAGATGAGAAAAAAGAGAAAAAAAGATAACTGGCTATTCCAGACTGGGTGGGTTCAACAATCATCACTAGCGATTACAAAATAAAGGTGAAAACGCTGTGCACGAAACTGTACAATAGCTGTGATGCGGAAAGCCTTTTAATCTCTGGTCTAGGATTAAATATTCTCTCATCTTGGACATTTCCAATATCCGTCCTATTTACCGTGTTGCTTACTTAGCACTATGTCACTCTCGGACGCATTTAATAAGAACCTCCAGACCAGAAGAAGCACCTATTGCAATTCATGGAGCATCTCTCCTCAGCAACGCGTTAAATGGATTAACGCCAAGGCTCTGTTAAAACCTCTTGCAATGACGGCAGCAGGGACTCATTTTTCTCCCTCCCCCCCTTTTCGGCATAAAGATTCGGATTTGTTGGGGAGTTTTTTCCAGTATTAGGACCACCATACTCTGTGAACAGGTATTTTTTTATACAATACACACGAGTGTCCCTCTCTCAGCCACTTAAAGCAGAACTGCAATGCTATTTTTAAATTTCTGGGTTAGAAAGGATCGGCACTGAGGTGCGCGTTTCAAACCACAATGAAAGTAAAATGTACACAGTAACTTGTAAAACCTCCAATTTACATTCATCAATTTCCCTTCGGGATCAATAAAGTATTATCTACATCACAAAATGTATTTACATACATTTCCAGGTATGTCCAACACCATGTTCTGCGATTCAGAATGAGGCAGCAAAACTTCTGCTGACCTGTGCGGCCCTATTACACTGTGAACACATCTCTTTTAATCCCATACAAATATTGCTCTTGACTTTGAGCGCAGATAAACGGAGCTTATTTGTTAACTCATGCTGATCATGTTGGAACATTTCTGCGGCGAAATGTCTGCTGCACAACCTGTACTTATCCCCTCACACATCACAGTATACCAGTTGGTACAGTGACTAGTGAGCAGGAAGCGCTGCACCATGTCACAATTCTCTTGAATTCTCGCTCTCACCCGCGGTGAGACCAAGGGTTTAATTGGAAATTTGTCGAATCTGTCAATGCATTTATCTTTTTACTGACATGTCATAACCAGTCTTGGAAATCGGGACTGCAGTTCCCCGTTAACAACTGAACTCAACAAGGGAGAGCATCACGCTCAATGTGCCTCTTCATAAATTAATTTTAGACATATTTTAATATTAAATTTTGATGACTCAATAAAGGTCCTACTTACATTTTGGCATGCAAATCCGTAAGAACGAGTGCACGAGCTAACCCCTTCTGACCGGCCCCTGGCCTCGAGCTTCAAACTCCACACAACCTTGCACAGTCACGAGCGACAGCGAACCAGGAACTGGACAGAACTGCGCCTCACGAGCCAACATTCCCTATACCCCTCATTCAGCACTTCCATCTACACCTGCACAGCGAGATCCCTGTACCTACAGCGCAGAACTCCCACCCTAATCTGATGAATCTGAAACCAGGGGGTGTGCATACACCGCCCAAAACGCGGCCAGGAAGATTTAGCTAACGCCACCTGTCTGTCCTGCCTCTCAAGTGATGCCTGTACCCCCAGATAAAGAAAATACTGGATTTCAGCCTGTGGCAGAGGTCCAGTTTCCAGCTGCCTCCCGAGTTTCACAGCGGCATTCCTGGCAGCGCTGTTAAGCGACTCGCCACATGTAAATATGAGGCCGTGCGCTACATTCCAAGCCGAGGCCTTACAGTCTCGTCCGGCCTTTTCCTCAAGACTTTCTTTTCGCGTTCTTCGGAGTGGGAGGAACCGAGTACGAGGAGCTCCTACCAGGCAACCAGAGGCACAGAGAGGGGACGTGTCATGGGGCCTGGGAGCCCGGAAGGGCCAACCAGGGTTCTGCGGCTCCACGCCTCAGTTCCTGTCCCAAGTGCTATGTGCCCTGGCCATGCTGGGAGAGACAGAGGGCGGCAACAGGAAATGCCGATTAATGATTTCCTTGGGTGAAGAATGGTGGGGGGCGGGTGGGAGAGGGAGATCAGGGGTGTATCCTCACACGGGAGAATGCCTGGCCTCTCCCAGTTTTTACAATGCTCTGTTTCCAGCCGGAGAGCTGCTTAGTCTGGATTTAAGCTCAGTGTGGAGCTACAATATAGGCTTGAGATTCAGGGAACACGAGTGCTCACTGAAGGCCTCCAAACCACTTGACAACTGTTTTTTTTTTTTCTGCACACGACGGCGACATGCAGTCCGTTAGCGGCCTCATCTAAAAGGAGGTAAGAAACAGATGGTCGCACAAACCTGGGCAAGAAATGGGAGCTCCAGTGCTGGCCAACAGTACTTTCCAACGGGACACACCGCGCCCAAAAACTTTCTGGCTAAAAAAAGAGAAAGGTCTCAAACATTTAAAAAACCCGAGAGCAATAACACACATTCCCTTGAATTTTTATCCAGGTAGGGGGGAAAAAATTGGCCAAGAAAACCTCATTTTTACACCGATATTGAACTGAAAACCAAAAATGGCACGAAACAGTGTCAGCTTGCCAAATAATGGGATGTGTGCTGTGCAGCGCTACAGCGAGCCTTGACAGCTATTACAAGACTCTCTCCTGTGCTTTGAACTAGATCTCACTGGAGGCGACGAAACAACACGAAGAACAACCTGACACCCCCGAGGGTTGACGCGGGAATGAAGTGACCTAAACATCTTACAAGACTGCAGCGGAGACTGCGACAGCACGCACACAGTGATCAGACAGCAGACTCGCAGCTCTGCCCTCCTGAACGAGCGCAGGTAAATCTTCCAGGAGAGGTCAGACGTCCCCTCTCCAGTGAGCAGAGCACTCCTCTCCTTTTTCATGTGCCTCCTGAAGAAAAGACCAGCCACCGACACGCAGACAAAGCCTGACTTTACGAGGCTCAGACAGCAAATCGGGGTGTAACACAGGGATTCCCCAATGACCTAGTGACCCACACACCTGGTGGTTTTCAATCCTCCTCTCCTTCAATAGAACACTGAAGCTTTGGTTGACCTAAAAAGCCATTTCACCTTTTGGGATATTTGTATTTTATTTCACTTACAAATCACAACATGTCAACTAAAGCTCCAACGCGTTGAAGAGCTGGGAACAAATAGTTCGGGCTTATCTTATTATTAAGCCAATGAAGGCGTTGGATTGTGTCACCGAGAAAGGAAAACAATGGGTGCGTGGGGTCACCCTGACCCACTGGTGTACCAGGAAAGACTCTCAGTCCCGTCACACCCACCTCCTCCCATCATCACGTCCCTGGGGGCATCACTTCAGCAGCAAGTGCTGGTTTACAAAACCGAGGCTACAGAACGAGCCGGAGTATTTTCTGATCAAGCTCAGGCGGGTATTTATATCCTCCGCTTCATTCCAGTGGAGAAATTAGCAGAAAGCAAAACCTCGTGCTGGATTATGCAAATGCTCCCATTACAATATAAGAAGTTTCAGGATGGCGTCAAAGTGACAGTTATTTAAGAATGGATTAGAGAGCCCTGGATTCTCTCTTTGAAGTACTCCCCCCAACACTGAGTATAATCACAGTAATCTTCCGTCTTAATTATGCTTATAAAACAGAAGACTCCAGCATATGTACAGAAACTGCAAAATAAGGAGGGATGTCGAACCCAACCCGATTACTTCAGAATCTGTATGAGGAATTCTTGTGCAGCGAGTACACACTCTTTGTTAAGGACTAGATATGGATGCAAAGCTCCAGACCCTAAAACAGAGCCCAGAAACACGGTTTTCTCCCTCCAGAAATCCGTTGTGGAGAGCAGGGCTGTGAAGCACCAGTTTATCGGCTGACAACCTGATCCTCCGCATGAACGAAAATGACAGCTCACCTGAAGTGGGGTGAATCACTTTTTAAACAGCCGACACACGAAGGCCTGCCACCCCAAACAGTGAAGTGCCGTGAGCGGGACCAAAATAAAATACCTTTTCCATACACCGGTTTTTATGGGCTTACTGACTTTTAGGACGCGCCTTTACAAATCCAAGTCTTAAAACGATGCGAGCGACGCAACGACGTCATACTGAGAGTGTGTGTTGTGTGTGTGTGTGTTTTTTTTGTCTTAAAACACAATTTGAAAGAAAATAAACCGTGATAGGCGGGTACCGCAACAGGGCGAAGACTTCTCAAGCAGGTTCCTGCTGCAGCAGGGCAAAGAGCCGGGATACCACCGCCAGGGACAAATGCAGGTAGCCGAGAGTCTTATAAAACGATGAGGAAGAGGAAGAGGATAACATGCCATCGTGCCTTTTCTGCGTGCACCGGGTGGGTGGGTGGGCGCTGAGGCGTCCTCGGCTGACCATGCAGGCCACGAGCGGCTTTACATTCGGCCTGTGACGTGCCGCCCCGCCGCAGCCAATCACGGCGCGGCGTCGGTGCGCACCCCGGCTCGAGACCCCACATCGTTCCGCCGCCCACCCGTCTCCGCGAGCCGCTCAAGACCCCCTCCTTGCAAAGACACCAGCGAGGGAATGATGTGGCTTCATTCCACTTGATAAAATATGCAAATTCCCCATGTACGGAATGACTCAACTCCCCTACTGTGACATAAGATCGGCGTCTTTTCAGGAACAGATTTTCTTTTTCTACGATTGCAGTCATCTAGACATCCAGCGAGCAAATTATTATAAACTAAAAAAAAAATACAATAGTGGGGTATGATCCGAGACGTTGAGCTCCTTTCTGTACACATGACAAAGCTACTCGGTGAGGAGTTTCTCTCCATAGGCTAAACTGGGCGATAGTCAGCTCTTGGGGACATAAATCGGCAATAGCAAATCCGATCTCGAAACACGCAGGACTCCAGGACGCCGACGGATCCCCCAGATCAATTTAACTTTTATCTGAAAGGAAAGGGAAAGCCACTCGCTCTCTCCAAATCACATGCTGTTGGGGTGTTTTCCCGCCCCGTTTCTCGAAAACAACCAAAAAAAAAATGCCACCCCAAGACGAGGCGAGAGAGCGTGTGCGATTCAGCAGTCTCAGCTCGACACTTATCAATCGCCTGAAAGGGCATGCGTCCACGGCCCAGGCCAGCCGTGAACACGGGTCAGAAAAATGAACAGGACGGGGGTGCTCTCCGCATTGAGGAACAGCGGCGGGGGGTCCCCCCGATCCTGCACCAGTCCGTCCCGCTGTCACTGCGGCTGGGACAGGGCTCTGCCGCGGCCGGGGGGGTAGGATAAAGGCCGGGCTTCAACTTCGTGTAAACAACGGGACCAACCGCGGCTTTACAAAATAAAAACACTCGTGCTGAAGCCACAGCCCTTCGCGAGGAAAGCGCTTACCCTGTGTCCCGCATTAGCCGGAAAGCGCCAAGACCGTAGAGGAGGCGGACGACGAGACCAAACTCTATGATGCACTTTTGGAAATAACAACAGCCTCTGCAGTGACTTTCCACGGCCGGGCTCAGGCATGATCACCGTTTTGCAGAACGAAATGCGATCACGCTCCGGGGAGCCGGTTCCTCTTCAGATTATTGTACAACTGGCAGAGCACCGTGGTCTACGCTGCTAAAGAATGTTACACGCTAGGATCTTCGTCTGAGGAATTGCGACCCTTTAGGTTTTATTCACCGGCAGGTTAAAAAAAAAAAAAGACAACAGACACCTTTTCAGCCTCCGATTTCACTGCGTTTTCCCGAAGCTTGCAATTTTATTTTGCGTGTAAAATGAGACACACAGCCCGCTTGCAATCTGGGGTGTGAATTAATTAATATCCACACACCCCCCCTCCTTCAAAAATCATTGCTTCAACATGACACGCAACAAACTCGAACGTTTCTGTCTCACCTGCGGTCCCCTCATCTTCTCAAGATCCTAAAACGCCACGAAACACGTCCCTCCACATCCCGCGTATTTTCGGGGAACTAACGGGTCCGAAAGGCTTCTCCTTGGATATCTATTTCTTTTTTTTATATATATTAACGATCTATAAGTCTCCTCGTTTGAACTCCCGATGTCTCCAGGCTCCAGAACAAGTCGGGTAGTTGAGATAGGGAACAGAAGGACACCTCCCCCAAGTATTATAACGTAGAGAAGGTTAAGGAAACTGCACGGCAGCACGCCATTTTGGCTCCGAGTGCTGCAAATATTTATCGCTCCGCCGGGTTCTCAGTTGGAGCCGGAATGGCATCCGCGTCACACTAGCCCTGTTCGACAATTCTCCCAGCTCAGGCCAATAGAATCTGCGGATAGTGTGAGTCAAGAAAAACACAGCCCCCTCTAGGCCGGAGGAAAGGTAGGCGCAGGCATCTTATGATGCAAAATAAATAACCGTAGCTCTTCTACTTAGGTAGGCAAACAGGCAATCGGCTTGTTATCCCGTCTTCTTTACAATGTTTCTTGAACCGAGATGCACAGCCAGAATAGAGTGTGGTCTGTGCTGTAAAACAAACATCGATAATTATGTCAGAAACGCCAGGACTCTCATGCTGCCCGCGAAGGAGCTGCTAAATAATTATCCCCCCCTCACTTAAGCACGTGAATATTGTGCCTTAATACGAATATACAACTATTTTTTTTTAAATCTTAAAGTCTGCGGCAGACGGCATTTTACACCGAAAGCTCGCGTTGCGGATGAAGGTGCAGAAAAATTAACCTGGTCGCCGGTCGGCTAATCTCTGTGAATGACTGATGCGCACTAAGATTAAAGCGGCGAAAGGTCTGTAAAATTTGAACCGTGGAAGACATCGCCTCCGGCGCCTCATTGGGCGCTGAAAAAGATGCTACAAGATAGCGTTACGACTCGTACAAAAAGTGTCTTTCAAACCGGGTTTCACTTTAAGTCAAGGGCTCGGAGAAGCAATGCGAAATTATTAAAAGACGAGACCGCTTTTACAGATGTCACAGTGATCGTAGATTTCTGAATTCCTAACAAATTAAAAGTTGGGATTAATTCGACTCACCGTTTTGTCGGGATGTCACAGTAATCGGACGGATCCGTGAATTCCTGAATGCCTCACACATTTACCAGTTGGATTCATGAGACTCACCGACCAATAGAAAATGTAAAAACGGAGTTAAATCGTGCTGTGACTCACACCATGATCTGCAGTGCATTCACAACTTCTGAGTGCACGTCTGAAACACTTCATCTTGCGTGCACCTTATCGTGTGACCTGTCACCTTGAACAGACACGGAGAGTACTCCCTGGGCACCGCTTGCCCTGCATAAAAGCTTCATTTTCATTGGAAGCAAGCGTGTGGTACAGGTTTCTAGAAAAGTCGTCACATTTACACACAAAAATCGTAAAATAAACGTGAAAAGTTTGATATTTCTAATACATAAAGCGATTCACCCGCATATAATTACAGGTTATGTTTTAGCCTTTGTATTGGTCAGAAGAAATGCTATTACGCCTTTACCTTAACTTTTTATTGGCGTCCATCTCTGTCCTAGTGAAACTGCATTAATACGCCACTAGCAACGATGCCGGATCGCTGGCAAAACTTTCTTGCTCAAGCTGTTGAAACCTGTGCGACAGAGTAACCAGTATCCAGCTCTTTTCCCCAAGTACAGATATTAAAAAGAAAAAAAACAGTGCCCCCTGTTGGATATTTTCATTTTGGGGGAAAAAAAAATGACCGCTGGATTATTAATTTGTTTCAGGTTACGGGATATATAGAAAATGTTCATCGAAACTCGCTGCGTTAATTGATGGATTATTTTGACGGCTGGACATGAAACCTCTTCCCCGCAGGCCCGTTACAGGCACCGCTGCAG